AGTATGCAGAGGCGATAAATCGATTTAGTTAAGTTTAATTTTTGTATTTTAAAAAAGTGCCGAGAAAAGCTTAGTCGTCCCAGGTACTAAACTTTTAAGAATCTAAACTTTGACGTATCTAATCAAATACGAAATGAAATAAACAATCAGTCTTCTCTGATAATATGTCGGCGCTTCGATTGTACCACTATTATACGATATTGATTCCTAAACGAAAGTGAATTATTATTCAATCCGGTGAAACGTTAGACGGTCGGCCATTATGTGGTGATTGTTTGATTTGAGGCGATAGAGGTCGGACGTCATCGACGGAGGGCGTGATCATCGATACTTTTAATTTTATTAGAATGGTGACACTGACTTTGACAGTTCGTTAACAAAAAGCAAGTTGCCGCCATTTCGACAGACATTCTGTTTTCGATTGTCGAGGTGTAAAGACATCCGGTGACATCACGCTGATCTCGTTATAGTTTCGTATGAAAAGTGATAAAATGGAATAAGTCCACATTGGTATACACGCCTGCAGTGTTATTTTAAAGATAGTCCTCCGATAAGGACGATCTATTTGGGCTTCGTAATAGCCCCCTGAGACTATACCCGCCGACAAATATAAAAAAAGTTTAATTATAATACACAGTTTATTATTGATTAACTATGTTGAAATGACTATTAAACTGAGATTATTATCAATGAAAGAAAACTATGTGTACCCAGATATTTATTAGAAATTAGAGAATAAATTAACAAAATATATCAAAAAATATTTAATGCTGGTTATAATAACTCTGATATGCAATTAAATATTAAATATCTTTAAAAATAATTGTAGGTACAATGTTAACAATTGTACTATGGAGGTAGGCAGACATAGGAGCGCAAAAATAAAGATTGTTAAACTTTATTTTTAGTTTTATTCTTTATACCTGAAGCCTGGGGGTGCTTCTCACCCCCATCTACAACCCAATGCTTCATAAATACCAAGACGAGACCATTAGCTTGCACTCACGGTTAACTATGAGACGTTCCTTTTGCCAAGTAAATGTCTCTAGACTTGCGAGTCACAGCATGATGGTCACAGTTAGTTGTGATACTTTCTTTACGTCGAGTAATGTACTTAGCGAATTATGAGAACCAGCTGACATCTTTATAATTCGAAAAGTCTTCTTACAATTTTATGAATAAAATTACGAGCAGCGAAATAATAAAATCAGATACGTGTTTTGATCAAAGCCAACTAATGCGTCGAAAAAATGCAGGTGAAGATCGAATATATTTTTCTTAATGCCGTATCAAGCAAGGAGTCGTAATTCTTTACGGATGTTGTAACTTCTATTAAGGGCCAGTTTTTTGATCCGTGGTTAACTCAACCATTTGTTAAAATCTTTGACAAATGGTTAAATATCAGAAAAATATGTTTTTTGATTAATAGTTAGCCTAACCAATTGTCAGAATTATAACCATTTGTCAAAAAATTTAACCATCACTGGAAGCTAGGTTAAGTAAATGACCAATTGTTAAAAGAACAGATGTACAACTGCGTTGTATTTACTTGGTCCCTTGTTATTGTTTTTTACGTTGTTTTTATAACCTACATGATTTCATAGTGAATTTGTACATTAGCTATTTTTGGGATTTCGTTTTATGATGCAATTTCATAGGAAAATATTAATTGTCATTTTTTGGTTATAGGGTTATTGAAAATAAGTTATATTTTTATCTTGATCATCCTTAGTATATTTGTACTATATAGAAAGAATTTTCTTGTTTCCACGGGCAGATGCCAAATTATTCAATTATTAAAAATCTTATAAATTCCACGAATAGACAATACAAAAGGTAAATATGCCTACAGTAAATAAAATACATAGTCCTTGATATATTTTCCAACGTTACAATCCCACCTTGGATACTAGATACTATATTCTTTTCACGTATTTGTCTATAGGATAAATAAAAAACAAATATATGCTTTTTATAAAAATTTAAGTTTAAAATAACTGGAAAAACATATCTTTGTTGCTTTCTAACATTATTAAAGAATTGCCTTATACTTCCTGAAAAATAACACATAGTGCACACAACAGAACAACCATAAACATCCACTCTCTTTGATAATCTATAGATTTCTTTCGTCTATTTGATATTTAGAACAAAATCCTAATGTCAAAAATGGTATATAGTTCGCTCCGTTCATTCAAACCGTTAGTGTTGTCACCTAGAAAAAAATTACCCATGTCAATGTATAGCGAAAAAACGAGTCATTGCGCTGGCAACAAATTGGCCAGTGGTTAAATTTGACTATGGTTAAATTTGGCATCAAAAAATGAAATAGCGAGTTAACAACTTGTTATTGTTTTAACTATAGTCAAGTTAACAAATGGTGAAATGACATTTGACTACGGATCAAAAAACTGGCCCTAAGATTTTTATAACCTACGGTGACGTACAGATTCGTTCGGTTGACTAAATACATAACTCTAATGAATCTGTAAAATGATTATGAATACTTTTATTAGATTACTATCTAACATGATGATAATAGTACGAAACTTATTTTTATAGTGTCAAATACCCATAATGATAAAAATATTAATTATAAATTCGCGTTTTGGGTATTTTCCCTTATAGCTTAACACTTAGGTATGCACTTTCTTAATGTAGCTAATATTCGGGTGTTTCGTCCGTATTTTAAAACGTTCGAATAAGAATATAATAGATTCATTACGTACAGAAATGATAAAAAAATGAAGGAATGAATAATCATTAATCGTCTCCCGTTTAACTAATAATTTCATTTATTTTATTCTGGTAACACTAATGACAGCTGTTTGGTTCGGCTGCGATTTGGCTCCGATTACGTTTCAGTTTAGTAAACGTTCGTTTGATAATTTACGTTAGCGGAATGCAAATTTACAGCAAAAATCGAAACGTAACCGTTACAGAAACGCTATTGATGATCGATCGTTGTAAATTAGTAGAATTGGCCCCCTGTTTCAGTTCACTAATGGAGTATTAGGTACCCTCCCCTAGTTACATATTATAGTTATCATCCTATTACTTATTCTCAAACTGTAGGTTGTTCATTTAACTGGCGGACCTTATAGAATTAGAAAAAAAATGGTAAATGTCACTAAAACATTTAAATGTAAATATTACCAAGACGAGACCATTAGCTTGCACTCACGGTTGACTATGAGACGTTCCTTTTGCCAAGTAAATTTCTCTAGACTTGCGAGTCACAGCATGATGGTCACAGTTAGTTGTGATACTTTCTTTACGTCGAGTAAATGTCTCAGACTATAATTGGAATTTAACCAGTATTTAACTTCACCGCGTGGAGGTATTTTCAGTATATGTTATAAATATGTTTTCAATGTTTTATTTTTTGTCAATACCATGAGAAGAATAAGAAATAAAATAATGATCCCCACTTGATAAAAAGGGGGTTACTTAAAAATCAGTTGTCTTTCGTGATTAGAAAGTGGTCATCATATTGAACAACTTTTCTTAAGGCAATATATTCGCATCTCTTAAGGTTTAATTAGGTTCATAGGGTTGCTATAGCAGTTGCTATAGATCTGTGATTTTTATACGTCATTGAGAAATGTTGAATAAATTTTTCTAAGGCGTTATATTCGCATTTCCTGAGGTTTAGTTTTTTTTTAGAAGTAGTTTTTCTAAATCTTCGATTTTAGTATGTTCATCATATTGAATAACCTTTCCTATTGCGTTGTATTCGTATATCTTTTGGTTAAGTTGGGCTGCTAGGGTTCTACATCAGTTGTTCCAGATCTTCGATTTTTATACGTCAATAGAAGTCAATAGAGTCAATAGAATTGAGGGCTCGGACTTACAAGGATATTCTTTATTAGTACCATACTAAAGATATTCTTTAGTACCATTTAAAAGAGGAGTAAGGCAGGGCGATACTATCTCCCCTAAGTTATTGACATCTTGTTTAGAGGGTATTTGCAAGCTCCTCGATTGGTCTGATAGAGGTATAAATCTCAATGGTGAAAAACTAACGCATCTTCGTTTTGTCATCATCATCTTTGCCGAATACATAGTCGTAATCTTAACAGTTGGTTTGCGAATGAACACCCCAAGGAACAAAATTATGTGCAAAGACACCTCAATAAGGCATACAGGAAGCAAATCAGAATATTGAGCGAGTAGATCAATATGTGAATTTGGGGCAGCTGGTTATTCTGGATAGGACCGTGGAAAGTCAGGAGACAGACCGCCATGATAAACTTAGATGGGCTGCATTTAGTAATTGGGTTACGGAGGGCTGATAAAGAGATATACTAATATAGTGAACTATGGTACATAGATTGAATTTAGTGGTTTATAATGTGCTTGGAAATGTGAAATATTCGCAGAAAACGTTCGATAACAAATGAAGCTTGCAGATTTTAAGAGTTATTTCGTAAGTTTCGACATTTCGACCTCTCGGATTGACGATCAATGGTTGGAATGAATGTAACGATCTATGGATTTGGTTTGTTAAGGATTCCTGAATAGATTCAAGGGCCAAGTTTGAATTTGAATGGTGCGCTAAGCGTGTTACATTTCAAATAAATAATTTTGTGCTTATTTTGGGCACCCGACATTCATTAAAGCAATAATAAATAGCGAGTCAATGAATGCCAGTGCTTTAAAAAAAGTTAAGAAAAAGATGCATTAAATTAAGCAGGAAGACAGAACAGCTAATTCAGATGTTAGTGTTTATTGGGCATGCTCGATATTTAAATTAATTGGTTTATTTATGAGTTATTGAAGTTTACGCTCGTAACAATCAAATTTTGACAGGATTATTCGCCATCTGGTAACAAAAAAACCATTAGCCTCATTGTATCCCAAAACTTGAATCACTTTCGACAGGCAAAAATAATGAATACTTTGGGATCCTACGTCATCGTTTTGTCTGTAGTCAGTCATCTCATTATTAACATAAAAATGACTAGGTATATACCTTTCTAAAAGTCAAAGAATATTGATTATCGTTCTTCTTTCATTTCTGTTCTCGATGAAGTTGCTGGAATTGTAGAATTCGATATCGATGTTACTACACTCGTCATAGAAATGTTTGTAGAGTGTGCCTGCGATGATAACGTACCATTACTTAGTTCGTTTGATTTTTTCAGTCCTGTAATATTAGTTCACGTTGAATTATTTCAATTAACGCATTGAGTCTGAATTAATTTCTAGGTTTTGAATTTGGTTAATTTACGTTATCAACTTTTCTGTATAGTCTCAATAATTTTCCAAATACTAATATATGACTTTAAAGATCTGTTTCCGTACCGAGTTTCCGTCTGATGTAAATGTAAATTTTTTTTGGTTTAAAAACCAGAATAATTAATAACCACAATCCGTGGAGGTCGATCAAATGGCCAATTATTGCTACCGGCAGGGGCACCCTACCATCAGGCCCCATCACAAAGATCGCGAATGTGTAAATTAACCAACAACTCCCCATCAGTACAAAGAGCTTCCCAGTCAACAGCAAACTGTAACCATAAAAATGATTTAAAATGCAATAATATCGTTTGTTGCAATTAGTTGACAAAGCTGTATAAGTTTAATTAAAACTTTACAATACTTCTATTTTTCTTAAAATTTTACAATATAATATGGTCGATGCATATCTGACCAAAGATCCGTCAAGCGTTTCACGGAAGTATGCTTTAATAGGCTACATTATCTATCGAATGTGTAATGACATATATAAATAAACTTATGGCATAATAATACTCAGTCACCTGTGTACAAATATAACATGTTTGACACCCTTAAATGAAGTGGAGAAATTTAAATTTTGGTGAAAAAGATTTCGCACTTGTGAAGGCAGATAGGTATACTTATATTTATGGTATATTGATGTGTGTTCGTATTGAGGTATATTATATATATTTCTTTTTTTTATATGTATATGTAAGTGTATATTATGATACTATGTATATGTAAGTGTATATTATGATACTATGTGTGTGGTATTGTATGTTTATTAATTGGGTACTTATGATTAGCACTGTTTTTGTTTTCTTTTTATTTTGTTTTGGCCCAGCGGGGCGTCACCACACCACCTAAGGGGGCCAACTGAAAAGCGACGCTGCAGTTAACTGCAGCACATGTCGAGTTGGCACCTTTTAGACACCACATCAGATGCACTCTATAAGTTAATAATAATTTATTAATGTCTTTTGCAAAATTGCATGTGTGTGTGTTTAATAAATGATTTTTCTTTCTTTCTTTCTTTCTAATGTTGAATGTCATATCTTGAGCTACGGTGGTAGGTGGTAGAATTTTACCGTGGGAGAGCCACGCTTCGGCATGAATGGGCCGGCTCAACCGGAGTGATACCACGGCCTCACATAAAAACCGACGTGAAGCAACGCTTGCGTTGTGTTTCGTCGTGTGAGTGACTGTACCGGAGGCCCAACCCCTCCCTATTCCCTTCCCCTATTATTCTACCCCTCAACCCTTCCCTCCCTATGATCATATTCGTCCCTCAAAGGCCGGCAGCGCGCTTGTAGCCCCTCTGGTGTTGCAGGTGTCCATGGGCGACGGTAATAACTTACCATCAGGTGGTCCGTTTCGTCTGCCCCCTAACCCATAAAAAAAAAGAATACCAAGACAAGCCAAATGAAGCACACTTCACCTTCAACTTCACTAATTCACGACACTAATAATATTCTCAACACTATTAGATCGTTCACCGCTCTAGTTATTGCTTCGAAAATCAAAGCGATAACTTAGTGTTGGTGCCATGATACCGCACTAATTGATCGACGTGGACAGTCGTTAGCGTCACTCGTAAACCTTTCTGTATTCGATTCGTGATATCATTGATCCTCATCATGACTCAGTAGGGTCAACCCTATTTTGCTTGTAGCTTTGGCGATTTTCCTTTGGTGAGTCAAATTTGTGATCCCTCCTCAAAGCCTTCTCTGTTAGCTCTGCGGTTATAGCGAGTATTCATCAGCTCCGTTTCCACGGGGCTTAACAACGTAGACCCTGTGATGCACCCCTACTACGAGTGTGTGGTCTTTTGACAGTTACACAACTATATATATTTGCGACACCAGTATTTCAGGTCATCTCGGTAGTGAATTCAGTAAAATCTCTCAGATCTTCAACAGAGTCCGTTTTATTCATGTGGTTTTCTGAACGTCCATCATGACATAACTTGAGCACATCTGGAATCTTGATTTTAGGCACAGTCGTCTGAAGGTGACAGTTATTTCCTCGGGCATTTTCCCGTTTACGGCATAGTGTTGCATTGCATAATAAGACTATCCCATTGTGCCAAATAACTCTTTGTGACCCCTTTGTCCGCAGGTAAAACATTTAAAAATTAACGGTGAAATGTTGTGGATGATCGCACGCTGATATAGCAACTATATCCCGTACTAGATGATTGGGATCGTCTTTGCGTACTGTCATCATCATCGTCTCATCGTCTTATGATGGCCTAATCTAACAGCAGCCCTAACTTCCAAGTCACAAATCCGTCAACGAAGGCTTGTACCAGCAAGTCTTTTACCCAAAGCAGAATTCGACTGGTATGTTTTCCGCACAAGTTTCTCGAATTCTAGCATAGTTGCAAGGTCTCATTGCTCCGTTGAAACCAGTCCTTAAGTTGAGCTCGAAACACATATTCCAGGTGTGCGTCACCATATCGCAACTCCAGTGCCTCCATCGGTTTCTCATCGGTAGTCTCTAAAGGACGGTCAAGGCTTGACGCGAAGACAGCGCCAGTGCAGTCCATGCTTGCTCCTTAGTCCAGCCATTTGTCCAGATTTTGTAAGCAAACCACGGTGATGTTTCATCAAGCGGAGGTGCTTGATCAGGTCACAGAACACAGAAAGACGTTAGAAGGACCTTGTGGACGTGGCAGTGTAGCCACGATCCTAGATAAATGTACAGGATCGTGACTTCACCACGCGATCGCGATGTTTAGTCATTCACGAACGCGCGCGCTGTAAATACTGTGAAACAAGCCACTAAAAGTGATAAAAATGCCGACTTTCGCAGTTATTAATTGCAAAACAAGAAGCTCATCCTCAAGTAGGTCCAAAGGAAGGATTTCTTTCCATTATAAAGTAGAACACTTCTCAAATTTAGTATTTTTAGTCGAAAATCGTGAAATGTTATCAAAAGTGTGAATCACAAAAAATATTTACAAGAAAATATACATTGATGGAGAAGTGCGCATATTTATTACATTGCGTCGTACTAAGCACGTAATGTAATGAATATCTAGTAGTTTAAATAGCAACATAATAGATTACGGTAGATGGGTAGTGAAGTGCCTGGAAACATTTAATCGATTCTTGGTATGTTAGGTAGTAAAAACTAAATAAAAGTGTGGACAATAAAAATAGTATATTCATTTAATAACGAGTGTGGTAATAAGTCTGTTTTTATATTCTTAATATTGTAAAAGAAAACTAGTTTTTATTTTTTTTAATTAGAACCATTAACAACAATACTTTTTAAATCATCGGAGTCTGTTCAGGATAAGTTCCAATAGCATTTATTGTACTGATTGAGTATTTTTTTATTTTGTATATATTTATTTACATTATATTGTTTGTCAATGTTACTAGTTTCATTTAAGCGATGTTGCATCTTATCTGTTTACTTGATATGAAATCGAGTGACGTAACGTAAAAAAAACCTACTATTATTATTAATAAACAAACATATTTATATGTATATATTTAAGCTCGACTAGTACTGATTTAATGTTAGTTCATTAGTAATTTAAATATTTCTTATTGAATCAACCAACTAATTAAGAATTTATATCTAAAGAAAAAATATAATGTCTCATTTAATCAATACAATTCTATGTTTATCCAATATAATATAAAGAAATCATTAATCTAGTATCCTTTCAATTAATCGACTTGTTGTTTTTCAATATCGATAGTAAATAACTTTATGTCAATCACTAGTATGATACGTCAAATTAAAAATAGCTTTTACACGTTTATTGCGCACTATAGATGTCTGTTATGGTTGAGCATGATTGGTTATAGTTATATTGGAGCGTTCTGATTGGCATATTTAAAATACAAGTGTGTGCATATCTTTTGTATAATTGGTCTTATTATTCGTCTGATGTACGGCGGACTAAAAGTGGGGCAAGACTGGCTACATCGGTTTTCGTAATGTTTTCGTACAAAGGATGCATGATCGCCTTTCTAACCTCTTTTCCGTGTTCTGTGGATCAGGTCATGTGGTGTAACAAGCATTTTTTTTATCCCATTTCTGTCACCCCAACGTTACGACTTAGGGTTGGGAAGAAATTAACGTCAGTTAAGTTCACAATCCGACTTTATTTACCTTCACTAATTCACGTCACCAATAACACTCCACAACACTATTAGATCGTTTACCGCTCTAGTTGTCGCTTCGAGTTTCACTTCCGATCGCTCTTGCTTTCAAAACGTTTGTTCACTGTAGGATGCCAACATCTAGAATATCATAGATTAGGACCTAGAACATTCTAGGCGTTTTCACGGCCCTACCGGTGTATTCGAGGTATTACCAAAAAGTTTTAGAACAGATACCCGTCAACAGAGGGACAGTCACTGGAGAAGAAAGTCTCCAGTGACTGTCCCTCTCTCGTCGACCCGATTTTTACCTATATGACATTAGTAGTTACAACAGTGTTAGCGCGATTTATTGGCGCATAACGCCATCCAGCAGAACCGGGTTGCTGCGCTCATTACAATACTTTGATACCTACCGATTGTGTAGGTTTTAAGCAATAAAGGTTATTACTACTGTCATATCTTACTTTTCTTTATACATCCGATAACGACGTGCAATAGCATCTTTTTCTGAACCAGCTTGCAGTTGCTGTGCTACTGATTTGACACGCACACAGTACACTGCAGTCAGCAACCACAGCACCAAGTTCACACCAGTTAAAAAACACATTGGTATCACGAAGAATATGTAACGAGGCCAATCATTCTTGCTGTGTAAGACTAAAAACAAATATATGCATTTGACCTAAATATGCAGGAAACAAATTTGATTACAGCAAAAAACGTAAACCCCTAATATTTTACTTGTTTCTTACTGAGGGTTTTATGTTCATAAGAGAAGTTTTTATAATAAGCGGTCAAAAATGTAAATAACATTGTATCTGCTCAAGATATAGACGGATTAAGTATATAAATAAAGAAAGAATTATTTGTTTCTTACCTGCACCAAACCAGCACACTCCTTTGCCAAATTCCGCATCGAGAATCGGCGTCAATGGATACTTATCCAGTAGAAATGTGGTCAGAGTAAAACTGACAGATATTCCCCACACGTACAGGAAGTACTTTAGAAACTTCTTGAGTGCACTTCTATTTGTTATGCGCTGTACTGACTGGATATGACTACAATTATAATATTAATGAAATTATTAACAAATAACAATTCTACAAAAAAAAAAATGCATTAGCGATAAATTTAGTAAGACCTGAAAAGCAAAACTTGTATCAAAAAAATTGCCCCATGTAATGGTCTTTTGTTCTTTATGGCGGGACAATACTAACGGAAAATGCTGTTAATAAAGACATTTCTCATTAGTGTGATCCCGTTATGAAGAAGAAAAAAGAAGCGAAACTACGATATTTATTTTATTTTTTCTCTATCGAAATAAAAGTAAAATGTAAAACATGGTACAAAAAGTTTTGTTAGCAAATTTTGCGTCATTTAAAAGTAGTATTGTATACTTCTTTTAAATTACTACTAAAAAATGGGGGGTTCAATACCTATTACTGAACTTATTTAAATAGTCATTAGTAAAAAAAAATACAAAAAAGTGTGATAATTGTTCAAACCACAATTGAATCAAAAATTATTGCAATTGTCAATACCATTCACGAGCGCAATACTCGTAACAGGTAACTACATACTAGCTGTAGTAAAGGTCCGCTGGCCATTAGCTCATTGATAAATCTCGGCAAACTCGAGTAAAAGCTAGACCGCATCCCCGCATATCCTGCACCCGCACCGTTTTCATGTGCTCTGTGCACGCGGCGCGCAAACATCAAAAAGAAACAATTGCAAACCGTTATCGAAAGTGTATGTACACTTTTATCGACTGCTGTTTGCTTACTGTTACTAACGTGATGGCTTATTAGTTTACATCTTAGGAGTATGAGGCTATTCTACCTTATCCTACCTATTCCTATGTTGTTTGTATTAGTTTTCTTTCAGGTTATTTTTCCACAGATTAGAAAAAAAATGTTGTTATGTCATACTTATATTGCACCCTAGTAAGAATTAAAAATATAGATTCTCTTCCTTACTCTTTGCAGTTTTATTTCCATGATTTTTAAAATCCGCTCTCTTAAAGACCTACCTAGCAAATACAGCGAATATTATTATATATTTCCGATTTGTATCTACTATTTTATAGCTTTTGTTGATTAAACATTTTTTATTATTTTGAGCTATTCCGTATTTGAAATAGTTAATATCCTCTAATCGGTATTGAGCTAGCGTGAAGCCCATCCTCCATATCTATTCTAAGGGACGTAAAAGGGCTGATGATGATGATGATCATTCTAGCTCTAGTAAGCATTTGCAAATAAAATTGGCATTCTTACCTCATCTTCCACCACATGTTAACGCACATAACGTTGACCCACATTACGGTTGATATGAAAGCAAAATAAATGCCATATCCTAGAAAAAAAAAAACTGCTTTCATAAGGAAATCGAAAAAAAAAAACTCTGTTGAAAACGAAACAACTTTGAAACGGTTTCATCGCGTTTATATTTTGTTGTATTGACGTTTCGGACCCTTTAACAGGTTCCGTGTTCCCATTAGACTAAGATGTTAGTTGTCTTTTTCACATTCACCACACAAAAAATATATATTTTGTGGCAACGTTTACATTTATTAAATTATTTTAAAAATATGTCTTACTTATTTATTTTTGGAACTAGTGGATTACCATAGCCAGGAACCTGTAAAGGGTGCAAAATGTCAGTAAAACTAAAACCGTTTAAAAGTTGTTTTGCTTATGGATAGAGCGCGTCAAAATATAAGAATTCATAACAATTCGAGACCCTCTCTTTGCAAATGTTCTTATTCCTGATTTTGGCATATGATATTATTTATTGGCACCTTTTAAGCAAAGGAGAATGGGAATTTTAGTTGTTCTGCTTGTCACATAATTTTAAATCGCAAACGGTTAATAGACATAAAAGATCCGATTAATCGGTTAAATTATATTAATATGTGACCCAATCAGCGCCGAAGTAGCGGTCGATGAGCGCCTTTTAGAAGTTTTTATATTTATGATTTAGGATGATATGCTTAAATATAGTAATACTTAGAAAATTTATGCGTAAATAAAATTAGGACAAATAAAAGTATGTCATGTTATTTTATGCCTTATATGTAAAGAGAACCAATCGATTGGGGTATTTCAAAATATAAAGTCAAAATAAATATTTTAATAATTCACACTGGCGTTGAGATTACATGTCAAAAAACGTAGTTCTGGATCCTGTCAAAAATTGAAAAAACTTGAAACTCGGATGACAAAATTTTGTTTAAAGTATCGAAATAAAACATTTTTTGTTTGCGATGAATATATTACTATATTACTAAAAAAAAATATATATAACGTTATCTTTGTTCTGAGGATGTGAATATAACCTTCTTAATAAAAGGTGAAAATAGAAACTTCTTACCTATCGCTGTGCATTCGTTGTTATTTATTGGATACCCGGTTACCAACACACATGCACACAAATAGAATAACAGCATACTGGTGATATAGCCGATCATATTGAAGCCGGCCACGTTTCGAAATTCCGACAAGGAGCAGTACACCACTAATGTTATTATTAAACATATCACCGTTATCGATAGTAGCTGGAAAATAAAGTAATTGTGAAATAACCAAATAAATACTCAATTGAATATTTGTACTTGTATTATTTTAATATAATATACACTTTTCATAATAAGAACTTAAACATTCTACTCTAAAATTATGTTATAGTTTACTGTATTTTTAATATATCTCGAAGCTTTCCTCTGAATTTTATTACGTTTCGTTTGATGTCTACTGAAATAGTTAACAGAATAGGCCAAGTCTGGTCTTGTATTTACTGTTTGCATTGCCTTACTTACTTCATACCAACAGTATAAGCTTTAAATCTGAAATTCATATCCATTGGGGTATCCAGACTTTTGCAATCTTTCATATTGACTTTTACTGTGTTCCTTAAATATTTTGTTTGAATAATAAAAAGAAGATCAGTATGTCTTGAGATTGTGATATCTACATATATAATATCTTCGTTACCTAAATCTTTTTCTTCATCTCACTAATATTTTTCCTACAATAAATTGTGCCGGTGAACTCAAAATGATAAATAAGGCAGATTATATAGTTTTACAATTTATTAACAATTATAACTAACATTATCTTAAAAACAGGATGGGGTGGAATTGTAATTCGTCGGACGGATGTGCAATAAAATTCGTGAATACCAGTGCCCTGGTAAAGGAAGAGTCCGTCTACGGCAGCGCACGGTGGGCAGAATCGGTCGTTATCGGATCAAAAATGTATAACTTCATGATTTTTTGTAGTACCGCAATGAAATTTGCTACAAATATTCAGTGAGGTTTGGAAATTCAAATGATGTATAATTTGTAGTGTTTTTCTATATACATATATATGTTATATGTCAAAGAAGTAAAAAAATGGGAAAACACAAAAATAAAACGGTAAAAAAAATAATTCCAAAAGAAAGACAAGTTTTAATGACTAAAAAGGCTAAAACTACGGTTAAATACAAAATTACCCAATTAATAAAAAATACAAAAAAAATTTTTTTGCTGAACAAACAAACTATACTAGGCCTGTAGCTTCAGAGATTGATATAACTCGTTACAAACATTACTAATAACTAAATATCAATATTATTTTTATTTTGGTAGGTACCTATATTGCTTCAGGATCAGGGTCAGTAAACGTGCGTTCACTTTCAGGTACCACTTTTAAAAGACTTTATTGCCTCTACTTCAAGATTTTTTACATTTCTTAAGTATGGTTTTCTTAAACTTGTTATATATGGATTTGACGTTCACAAAAGCATTTTAAAGACATCTTCATTTGTTGCAGACCGGGAACATTTTTTGGCATGATGAAGTCGCATGTTTCTGTAGTCTTTGTTGCGAGACTCTTGTGCGTCTTCCGACAGCTGTCCAATAGGATTATCTTATTATCTAGTAATTTCTCACGCATAACGAGTGCAAATTTGATAAGATTCCTTTGTTATCGCTAAATAAATAAAATATTCCAAAAGTAATATAATTATTGTCCTTGTGAACGGTGTCTGTGGTAAACCGCAAAAGATACTGATTTTTTTTTCCGACCTGTCACACTATTTTCTAAAACCGCAAACTTCCGCAGCTGTTTTTTTTTTGTATTCTATTACTGAATAGTTAGACTATCAATTAACATAAAAAGTTGCGCGTGGGGAGTCGTGGGTAATATTGAAAACCTTAGACGAAAAAAAATAAAAGTAAAAAATAAGGTATGCCACTTTTTAATTACTTACTGACATAATGGTCGCTGCTTTAGAAATTTAAAAGCTGTAATGTAATAAGCATGAAATAACCTTTCCAAAAATGTATAATACTGTATATATGTACCCAATATATATTGCACAATATGGTTTTGAAACATGTATATGCGTAGACTCGAGTTCGGCACTCCCGTCTTCTATGTACTTCTACCTATGAAAAAAATGTAACTTCGTGCATTTTCGATAAAAAAACTTAATGAATATTATAATTCGATTATTTGAGATCCTAATAAAATCACCAAATCAAACAAATTATGACATTCGTAAAAATATTTTTGATATGCTCTTGTTCTACCATTTTCCACGGTGCGGCGGTGTGCTAGAGGAAACCTTCTTATCCAAAACTTTGTTGTATCCAACTGGCCTTGCCGTAGGGGTGCACCCTGGAATAGTGTAACAGCG